GCAAGCAGTACGACTTATGATTATAAAACTAAATATTTTTATCAAATATGGGAACATTTTCTCTTTTACAAAAATTTTTTTATCATTGTTTTTTACCGTTTTTTACTTATGAAATATTTTGTACATTTTTTATTAATGTTCGTGAGTTTATCTTATAAAAATTACTGTATCTTGTTAGTAATCTATCTAATGAGTGTCGTATGTGTATACGTGTACATATATGAATAATAAATTGTTTCATATCCAGGATTAAATAAATTTCTAATTTATGAATAATAATTGTTTCATATCCAGGATTATATAATAAATTTCTAATTTATTTTAACTCATCCATCTTTTTAAAGCAATACGAAAATCAATGAATAACAAGTAATAAATAATGTTATTAAAAATATTCACCTCACATGGATGCTTCGTCACCCGGTGTCTGTCCGGGCCTCCGTGAAGTTAGCACGGCGTCTTACTAATTTTCAAAAAACAATGATTAGTTCTTTTCATTTCTTTATTTTTGACTTCATGATGTTAAAAATGCAGAACATTTTTTTTTTATTTTGATAAGGAATTGTAGAATTGTGAAAAGTGTTATTGGAACTGTCATTATTTTCTTTATATTTAAAAAAAAAAACGATATTTTAACTTCACAGGTTCACATAAATTTGGATTTTGAAGTTAGCACGTCGTTCTATTAATATAAAAAAAAATGACAGTTCTTATAGCATTCTCTCTCTCTCTCTCTCTCTCTCTCTCTCTCTCTCTCTCTCTCTCTCTCTCTTCATAGTCCTACAGTTCCTTATAAAAATAAAAAAGATTTCGCATTTGTTATATTAAAAAACCAAAACTGAAAAAATAGTAGCTGGAACTCTATTTAAAAATGATAATAAAACATGAAATTCTGTTAGAACTAACGAGAAACATCGATGGAATTGCGATAAATTACCAGCACACTTTTCCGAATTTCATGATGTCGTGTCAATTTCAAGTCTATTAAATTTAATTGTTGAAATGAGAAGCGATAGGTATTGGTAGAAAATGATTGCATTTGGCATTTTTTGATAATTTATCACGATCGCGTCTCAAGAAATAATAATAATACGATACATGTGTATATGTGAAGCGGCTCATACCGCTGCTTGCCGACTCAAGTCTCACTGTGCGAATGTCAACAAAATAACCGCGTCATAACATAGTAAATTGTACGTCGCAAAATGCTGTGTGCCAATCGATTCAGCTATTTTATGAAATACAACATATATATTATAACATATATATTATATATTGTAAAATAAAAATACTATTTTAGTCTTTACATTTCCAATTAATTATTGCACGCTTAGTCTAATTTATTATTTATTTAAAAATTGAAATTGACCTTTGTCTCAAACAAAAAGGTATTTATTCTAATTAATTTATTGTTAGTTCTTCCTAAATATTTCTGAAGTAAAATTCTTTGATTTTTAACACATTGAAAATTAAAGCTTTAATAAATTAAAAAAGGGAATTAAAACGCTGCAAAATTATATGATTTTTTTTTCTTGATTTATTTATAAAATTATATAATTCTGATTTGAGAGAGGGAGAGAGAGAGAGAAAATAACAAAATTACATATTTCTATTTTTCAATCACAGGACAAAGGTATATTTTATTCTTTTAATTGAAAATTAACTGATAATTTAATAAATATTTTTCAGTGAGTAATTAATGAATCATTTAAATTTTTACTTAAAAAAAGAAATAGTTAAATTACTAATATAAACTTATTATTACAATATGCATATATTTACACATAAAAAAACCAAAAGACAAAATTGCTGAGTAATAAAAATCAATCACTCAAAGTGTGAAAATTAATAAGTAAATCGTATAAAACTTGTTATCATTAATATGTAATCCATCGATGTAATACCATTGACTAATTTTAATCGTTTATAATTATAAAATTAATCTGGATATTTTCATATGAAGATTTTTGATTCTCATAACTAAAATCTTCGGAATATATACATTATTGAAATATCATATAATAAAAAATTGAGAGATATATGTGCCTTCACTTTGATATAGCGTTAACTTTTATTATCGTCTGATAAAAAAGTATAACAATTTTCTTTTAAACGGTAAATAATTTTAGTTTCTATGTGTCCGTAAGGGTATAACATTTCAAATGGACGGACTCGAAACTCTTGGGAAACTGTCACGAAACGTTGATGTTCGTGCCAGCTACCACGGGATGGTAAAATCATCATCCTCAATAACGCCGCTCAAAAAGATCACGATCACATGCATTGCCTGAGTTCATCCGAATATTTCTCGCTCACTTCACGGCGAAAAAACACGAGCAAAAACTTAATTTATGAGCTAATCTAATTTATATTATAAGTCGTGTGATATATCTTTTTTTTTTTACACTCACCCAATGCTGCGTCGCCACTACTTCTCCTTCCGTTCCGTCGAGGCTCTGTAGAGAAAATAAATTCGGAATATTGTTAAAAATATTGCGGAAACATACAAAAGATATGTTCACGTGATCGCGGTATGACACGCTGATGTTCGAATGTAATATCTAAACGCGACCGCTATCGATCGTGGAATTCAAGAGCTGCCTAATCATTGATCGAGTGAGTCATGCTTGTTTTCGACGCCTCGTCGGTAGCTCCCATATATATATATATATATA